TATTCTTTGTGTTCTCTCAAATCGTAATGTTCTGGATTCTTCAACACCTATACTTTTGACTTTCTAAACAGTCAGTCAGTCAGATACAACGTAGAACTTGGTACGTAAGTACATCAGTTCATGTTGTCATACCACATTAGCACAGAGACGCGAATGTCAAATCAAATCCAATAGTAGTGGAGGTAGTAAGGGTAATAGAAGTAACCGGAGAGGTTAGGGTTAGAAGATACAATTCAAGAAGTATGATTCAGTGAGAAAAGTTTAGAAAGTCAAAACTAGAGTTGTTGAAGAATCCAGAAGATTAGGACTTGAGAGAACACAAAGAATAAATGCACCGGCGCCATTGCGAACGATTTTGAGCCGTAGCTGCTAACTTGACGTGGTGGTCGGGCTTGCCTATCGTGATGACCTAACCGAGCTATACTGGCTGGAACAAATGTTTCTGCTGGTCCTACCATGCCAGGCTGGTCGATTGGAGAACGATCAGACTGAAAGCAGCTACCCAAGGTCTGAGGGCGAAGTCGTACTGCTGACTGCAGGTGTGACAGCAGTAAGGTGTTTACCTCGGACAAACAGCATCTGCAGCGATGCTGCCTTCTCACAAGGAAGGAAGGGTTAGAAAAGGTCGGCCGTGAAAATGTCACACCTCCCCTAACTCACAGATTTCCGTCTCCTTGGGTAAGGGTGCCCACTAAGGGCCTTTAAGAACGGAGCTAATCCTGAAAAAACGTTTCATAAAAAGGCCGTGCGTGACCGTCCTCAAGCAGTTGTCCCTTGGACTCTGAGGTCACGCACCCAGGTGTCTAAGACCAACACTAATCTATCTTCCTTTTCAGGTCCCTCAAGAAACAACCTTCCACGGTGTGGGCAGCCGGGAAGTGACAACCTCCCTCATACCCGTAACAGCACACGAGACCAAATTGGTCAAAATCAAATCCTTCCTACACCCCCTAATGTCTCTCTTATCTCTACGACTAACTGTACTCACACTCCCTTTTCTCACTGGACCGCTAATGCAGACGAAGCGAAAATTATTGAACTGATCTACAGAAAAATAATAATAATACATGAAAATACAGATAATTTTTGTTTCTATGGTAGGATTGTGTTATGTAAAGATAAAAACTAAGACAGACAGACAGATATAACGCAGAACTTCGTACGTACGTACGTACGTATGTACATTAGTTCAGGTTGCCATACTATATCATCGGCACAGTGACGCAACTGTCAGTATAGATCAAACAGTGAAAGCGATAGTGGAAGTATTAGCAAATAATGGAGAAGATTATGGAGCGAAGATATGATTCGAAAAGTATAATTCAGTAAGATAAATTTAGAAAGAGAAAGATAGAGATGAGGGGGAATTCTCAGAAGGTTAGAATTAGAGAGAACACAAAGAGTGGATGCACCTGCTCCCGCCATTGCAAACGATTCTGAGCCGTCGTTCAAGGACTTTCGTCTCGCGAACCCCAACCAGGTAGTCGACATCTACCAACCTAACTCAGTTCACTTGTCCGTGACTTCATGGATTTCTGGCATTTTCGGTCTGGCCGCCCCTAGCTTTCTTCCAACCTACCCCTACATTACAAAACATCGCTAATCGAGGCAGTTGGTGGATAGGCATACGTAACACATCTACCAACCACCTCAACTGATGAAGTTTCATTACTTCATCGACTGATCTGCCATCCCTAACTAGTACTCATTTCTTAACGATAGCATTGCTTATACGGTTGTCCCAGGATACACGAGAAATTCTTCGGAGACACCGATAATCGAAGACTAGTAACCTACGAAAGTCCTCTACTCTTAACAGCCATGTTTCGCATCCGTATAGTAGGACGGAGTGAACTGCCGAACAGTACACTCGTCCTTTAGTTAGCGAGCGGATATCTCGCCTGCGCCATAAGTGACGCAGGTTGGCAAAAGTCAATCGAGCCTTCTGTATCCGTGCTGAGATTTCGTCAGTCACCAGGCCATCAGCACTGATGAGATTCCCAAGATAAATGAAATGGTCTACACGTTCGACCATTTCATTACCTATCACTAGTTCATAAAAACTAAGATTTAAGCTATGTGATATTATGTCACAAGACTACTACTATACAACAACCTTATGTAGTTGATTGGGTAATGTGTTATATTTTCTACTCAACCAATGACTACCTCAACAAGTGATTCTGTCTGATGTAAAGTCAGTCAGTTACAACGTAGAATTTCATACATGAGTACATAAGTTCAGGTTGCCATACCGCATCAGCACAAAGACGCAACTGTCAGTTCAAATCCCACAGTGGTAGAGATAGTAGAAGTATTAGAAGTAATGCAGAATATTAAGGATCGAAGATATTATTCAAGAAGTATAGTTCAGTGAGATAAATTTAAAATGCGAAAGATAGAGATAATGAGGAATTCAGAAGGTTAGAAGTTGAGAGAACACAAAGAGTGGATGCACCTGTATCAGTGTAAACGATGTAAGAGTTGGTATCATTTCATGAAGTCACTAACAATTGGACTGAGCCATGTTAGTCAGTGTAGACCATTTGATTCGAGTCCGTGTGATCATCAGTGGTTAGAGACTTTGAATAACGTGGCTTAAAATATTCCTCGAAATTCTAAGCTTCAGAATTCCTGACAACTTTTTTTAAAATCTCTGATTTCTAATGCTTGATATTACTACAAATACTGCTAAAACTCTGGGTCTTGGAATAACAAATTCATCTCTTTGTACTAATATCTTCGAACCCTAGTCTTCTTCATTACCATTAATACCTCTACTATCTTTATCACTATGGGATTTGATTTTACATTTGCGTCTCTGTGCTAATGTGGGCATGGCAACATGAACTTATGTGCATACGTACGAAGTTCTACGTTGCAACTGACTAACTAAATGACTGATTATATCAATTAACAAAGTGAGAATGAATCAACACGAAAATTCTACAAGTAAAAATAGTGGTCGGTTATTATTAGCATGAAAGTTTGGATGAATGTGTATCACTTTCGATTGCTGTATCATAAGATGAGAAGATCTAGCAAAGGTCAAATAAAACAAGTGAAACCACAAACTGAAGAATTAAATATGATACTGAACTGAAGCTTATCGAGTAATATATTATATAACGAGTGTAATTGAGTCAATGTGACTGGATCCTCATCAATACTGTTTGGATTATTTGGGCTTATATTTGAAGATGATGGAAAATCTTGGATGGGGGAGTAGTAGTATGTTGTAACGATGATAGTCTTGAAATCTAAGTTGATTTGGATAGATTAAATAAACAATTAAAATATTTGTATTTGAGAATTAACTTTAGTCCGAGCAAAATAGAGTGCACATTGGTCACAGAAGCTTACAAGTGAACTATTGATGCAAAGAAGAGCCCAAGAGTATTGTAAGTAATGACCTGGATGGTTTTCATATTTTTTTTGCGCTTACCAGAGCTTTTAGACGATTTGATGAAAAGCATAAACTGTTTTCTCTTGTCTTATCATAGAACATGGGATCTTATCTATTCCGTATCTTCAGCAATGATCAAGGTAGTATAAAGTCTCCTTTTATTCTTTACTTTAGGAAAGATTTAGCTTCAAGGCAGTCACAAAAAGGTTTGAAAATTATAACTGAATAAATGAATAGTCCTAAACATTTGTATGTAAAATTTTAACTAAGAAAGAGCTGTTCGCCCAGTTATCAAGCCTTAAAGTAACCAGTTCATATCGATACATATATTTTTATTCTGGATCGTGTGGTTATAAGGACATATAATTGTCCACCATGTTTCAGAATTCTTCTTGGTTGGGTTTTATCAATGATTTACTTGCCAAATCATACGACATTTGTAACATGTTCTGCTTTACATGGTAGCTTTAGTCTTTGTATAGGAACCATATAGGAAAGAGTCCATGCTCAAAGTCTGGTCTCACAATGATCTTGGACTATCAGTAAGCCACGATATTAGGATTGAGGCTCACTATGGTGCTGTTGCAACTAAAAGGTTCAAAACTGTATGAATTCTAGGACGGACAACTACAAGGTTGGATAAAAGCATATTCACGACGATATACACAGTCTTAGACAGATCCAAACTTGAAAACTAAGTTCAGGCTGCAAACCTTTGTTTAAAAGGTGACTCAGATGTTGGAAAAATACAGAGGACAGCTAACAGTCCAATTCCAGAACTCCGAGTTTTTACATACACAGGGTGGCTAAAAAGTCTGTCAATCAGCCACCACATAGGACTTTGTACGTACGCACATCATTTCAAGTTGTCATACCACATTAGCACAGAGATGCAATTGTCACTCCAAATCACATAGTAGTAGAGGTAGTAGAAGTATTAGCAGTAATCGGAGAGATTAAGGTTTGAAGATATTATTCAAGATTTATAATCTAGTGAAATAAACTTAAAAATAAAAAGATAAAGTTGATGGGAAACTTGGAAGTTTAGAATTTGAGAGGAGACAAAGAGTGGCTAAAAAGGTTGGAACTCTTTACTCTGTCCTATCATATCATATTTTGGTATAGAAAATACTAAGAAATGACTTTGGACCTGATGTATGCTCTTTTTTCGCTGTTAGATCATGTCATCTTAGAACAGAAGGCAGGTAAGCGCGAAAACTGAGAACAAACAAAATACCCATGAAATACATGTTTCTACACAGTCCTCAACTCCTGGAATCTGTTACCTAAAGGCATGGTATCAACTGCTTTTACAGATTCGTTCAGAAGAAGACTAGACACGCTCAGAAGCTTACTTAAAAGGACTAACACGAGCCACAGGCTTTCTCTCTTTAACACACAAAAAATTATATCAGACTATTTTTAGAGGTGCATGCATTAAATACAAACAAAATCGAAAAATGTAAACTGCATCAAAATTGTAAATAACTTTCAAGACATAAAAAGCAAAGTACAGGTGTAACACGCTGTTTAAGTATACCGATATAATATTCTGCTCTATCATTGGTCCAAAATCTTAGCAACTTTTGTTTAAGTGATTTCCTTGATAAGCTATTCGATCTCCTCAAGGTCGTGCGGTCAATACTTATAAAGGAATGTGTAAATGGATATTGCTTTTGAATTGGCAAATGAAGCACTCGAATGTAACGAAGTTCCAGTAGGATGTGTATTTGTATATCATGGCGAAGTAATTGCATCCGGTCGTAATGAAGTAAATCTTTACAAGGAGTTTTATAATTTCTAGGTAAATGCTACCGGTGATGCTACTCAGCATGCTGAGATGGTAACTATTAGACGTTTAGAACAGTGGTGTCAAAAGAACAAAAAAGAGTTTGACAAGGTTTTAACGGAATGCGATCTGTATGTTACAGTAGAACCATGTATTATGTGTGCTGCTGCAATGCGGTTTACTCTTCCAGCTCATCTAAAAAGGTAAATTTGTTATTTGCTTAGACTTTATGATTAGTATTACATATGGTGCTTGTAATGAACGTTTCGGTGGATGTGGTTCGGTTTTAAGTGTACATAATTCTCCTAGCCCAGTTGCTCCACTAAATTGCATAGCCGGCGTGGAAGCGGAAGCAGCTGTTGAACTTTTGAAAAAATTCTATGCTCAAGAAAATGAGAATGCTCCAGAAGAACTACGAAAACGTAAACGTGTGTCATAGTTGTACTAAGTATTATGGATGTTTTTTTATCTTCAATTGAAATTATAAATAAATGAAAAGTGATTGTTAAAGTTGATTTTATTCATTGTATGTGACAAATTCGAGAAATATTCTGATTTTTGATGTAATTGATGAACTTCGAACTGCGTTATTCAGAAAAGTTGCATTCGGATCCATTGTATAATGTTTACAGTACAAGATGACTCATAAGACATTGGTACTACCCCCACCCTCTTCCTGTAAAAACCCCTGCGTTTTTGATTTTGAAAATAAAGAGTGCCGTGACAACAACCTTGTGTTCTCCCTTGGTGTGAGGTGTCGAATTAACCCTGTGTGTTGCGATTTTAGATTTCCTCTGCCTTTCACTGACTGCCGATTACGCGTGTTACAACTGGTGATGGAGGTGCCTACAGGAAAATTTAAAGCAAACTCAGATGAACCCCCGGTGCTGCCAACCAGGTCATCAACCAGCATTTGCCCGCGTCAGCCACCCCCTTTGGAAAATTCGTCAGATTACGCTGCTTGGAAATTCAGGGCGGAAGCATACCTGCAGCAAGCGCCAGTCTCAGAACATACTAATTACCTTGTTTCCTTCCTGAGCGATGAGGCGTTAAAGAAAGTAGCTGCATTTGGCTTCTCAACAGCCAAGTCCTTACCCCAAAACTGGAAGATATTAGACGATTGTTTTTCACTCTCTGTTGATAAACAGCAGGTGACAATGCAGTTTTTGTCTCGTCACCAGAAGCCAGGAGAAAACCCGATAGAATACCTTGACGCTTTACAACTAATTGCAGTGCAAGCGTTTCCTGATTTGGATGCTTGGGACGGGACGAATTGGTACGTTCCCGTTGTATAGAAGGGATGGTGCATGGAGCATTGCGCGAACACCTACTACGAACACCACCGGCCAATACCGCCGAATTAAAGAAGACGGCACTCCGATTTATCACGGCGGATAAAATGTCAAATCTATCAGAAACCCATCGTAATTCTGTGATGACGGTGGAAACCGGTGATTTGGACTGTTCCTCGAGGGCAGCCTCTGTTGCTCATCTTTCTAGCCGACGAATTAATCGTGGGGGGTTAAATTGGACGTGGAACAGACGACCATTTTGTAACAACTATCATGGACGTCACACTGAATGTGTCTATTGCAGGAGGTTTGGAAGAAACGCTCGGAGATGTGGACACAATCGATTTCGTAATCCAGGTGAGCCATGCCAATACTATTTATCTTCTTGTCATGTTAACCAAATCGGCCCTACCACACTAAAAGGTATAGTGCAAGGAGTAGTGACTGAAATACTTTTAGATACTGGAGCATCCGTATCCCTCATCAAAGAGGAGTTCCTAAAGAGACTGAACCATAAGGCCCAGCGAAAACGATGCTCGTCTGCGTTAACAACAGCCGGTGGGGAACCTCTTAAAGTGTGTTATAAGACAGCATTAGACTTAACATTGGGGAAGTGTTCGTTTCGTCATGAGTTTTTAGTTTGCCCTACATTAACCTGGAACATGATATTGGGCGTAGATTTTATGTTAAAACACCAAGTTTCTATATTTATGGATAGGGCAGAAGCGAAAATCGGCAATGCCACTGTACACCTACATCAGTATGCAAGGACGACTAAGCCTGTATCTCACATCGGAATTTCAGAGTTGGTAAGTCAAGTTGAAAGCAACCAAATGATACAGGAAGTTGATCGTCGGGCAACGGTGACTGTGCTCCGACAGTTTAGTTCTGTCTTCGAGGAAAACGTTTCTGGAAATCGTACGAATACGGTACAACACCCTATTTTTACAGGCGACCATATGCCCGTACGACAGCCGCCTCGTAGAGTACCCGTACACTACCGACCACAGCTAGATTCGATGATCAAGGATATGTTAGACAAAAAGATTATAGTCCCTTCATCATCCCCCTGGGCGTCCCCTATTGTTCTAGTGAAGAAGAAAGACTCCTCGCTCCGGCTCTGTATAGACTATCGACGCCTAAATGCTATAACTAAACGGGACTCTTTTCCACTTCCGCGCATTGATTCCACACTGGACGCCTTACACGGTGCGTGTTGGTTCTCCACCTTGGATCTAGCATCGGGGTATTGGCAAGTGGAAGTCCGACCGCAAGATAGGAAGAAAACTGCATTTATAGTACCAAATGGTTTATATGAATTCCAGGTTATGCCTTTCGGGCTAACGAATGCCCCGGCTACTTTCCAGCGACTGATGCAAACAGTGTTACAAGATATAGTGCCCCATAAATGTTTGATTTATCTTGATGATATTATTGTACACGGTAGCACACCCGAACAACACAATGCTAACCTGAAAGCTGTCCTGCAACGTCTTAGACAACACAACCTAAAAGTAAAACCATCCAAATGCCGACTGCTACAGAAGGAAGTAGTATTCCTAGGACATCGTATCACCCCAGATGGCGTTTGTACAGATAATGAAAAGACGCGTGCCATTGTTACTTGGCCGCAACCAAAAACACCTGAAGACGTTCGCAGTTTCCTGGGTCTCGCGTCCTATTACAGACGTTTTGTTCGCGACTTTGCATCTTTGGCAGCACCTTTGCACAGGCTGACACATAAGGGACGAAAATTCTTATGGACCAACGAATGTCAACAGGCATTTGATATTTTAAAGGCACGGCTAACCTCACCACCTACATTAGCCTTTCCTGACACCTCAGCAGATGGAGGTCAGTTCATACTCGATACAGATGCTAGTTTTTCAGCTATCGGAGCGGTTCTTTCACAGGTAGCCCGAGATGGCCAAGAGAGAGTCATAGCTTACGTCAGCCGACGACTAGACAAGTAGGAAACACGGTATTCCACAACGCGTCGAGAAATGCTAGCATTAGTTAAATTCTTACAGCACTTCCGTCATTATCTACCGGGTGCTCCAGTATCTAAAAGTATTTCAGTCACTACTCCTTGCACTATACCTTTTAGTGTGGTAGGGCCGATTTGGTTAACATGACAAGAAGATAAATAGTAACGGCATGGCTCACCTGGATTACGAAATCGATTGTGTCCACATCTCCGAGCGTTTCTTCCAAACCTCCTGCAATAGACACATTCAGTCTGACGTCCATGATAGTTGTTATAAAGTGGTCGTCTGTTCCACGTCCAGTTTAACCCCCCACGATTAATGCGTCGGCTAGAAAGATGTGCAACAGAAGCTGCCCTCGAGGAACAGTCCAAATGACTGGTTTCCACCGTCATCACAGAATTACGATGGGTTTCTGATAGATTTGACATTTTATCCGCCGTGATAAATCGGAGTGCCGTCTTCTTTAATTCGGCGGTATTGGCCGGTGGTATTCGTAGTAGGTGTTCGCGCAATGATCCATGCACCATCCCTTCTATACAACGGGAACGTACCAATTCGTCCCGTCCCAAGCATCCGAATCAGGAAACGCTTGCACTGCAATTAGTTGTAAAGCGTCAAGGTATTCTATCGGGTTTTCTCCTGGTTTCTGGTGACGAGACAAAAACTGCATTGTCACCTGCTGTTTATCGACAGAGAGTGAAAAACAATCGTCTAATATCTTCCAGTTTTGTCATCATCAGCTGAAGAGCAAGCCCTGAGTGCTCTAAACCTATAAGATGACTCATAAGACATTGGTACTACCCCCACCCTCATCCTGTAAAAACCCCCGCGTTTTTGATTTTGAAAATAAAGAGTGCCGTGACAACAACCTTGTGTTCTCCCTTGGTGTGAGGTGTCGAATTAACCCTGTGTGTTGCGATTTTAGATTTCCTCTGCCTTTCACTGACTGACTGATTACGCGTGTTACAGAATGTGTAAATGGATATTGCTTTTGAATTGGCAAATGAAGCACTCGAATGTAACGAAGTTCCAGTAGGATGTGTATTTGTATATAATGGCGAAGTAATTGCATCCGGTCGTAATGAAGTAAATCTTTACAAGGAGTTTTATAATTTCTAGGTAAATGCTACCGGAGATGCTACTCAGCATGCTGAGATGGTAACTATTAGACGTTTAGAACAGTGGTGTCGAAAGAACAAAAAAGAGTTTGACAAGATTTTAACGGAATGCGATCTGTATGTTACAGTAGAACCATGTATTATGTGTACTGCTGCAATGCGGTTTACTCTTCCAGCTCATCTAAAAAGGTTAGATTGTTATTTGCTTTGACTTTATGATTAGTATTACATATGGTGCTTGTAATGAACGTTTCGGTGGATGTGGTTCAGTTTTAAGTGTACATAATTCTCCTAGCCCAGTTGCTCCACTAAATTGCATAGCCGGCGTGGAAGCGGAAGCAGCTGTTGAACTTTTGAAAAAATTCTATGCTCAAGAAAATGAGAATGCTCCAGAAGAACTACGAAAACGTAAACGTGTGTCATAGTTGTACTAAGTAATATGGATGTTTTTTTTTAAATCTTCAATTGAAATTATAAATAAATGAAAAGTGATTGTTAAAGTTGATTTTATTCATTGTAAGTGACAAATTGGAGAAATATTCTGATTTTTGATGTAATTAATGAACTTTCAACTGTGTTATTCAGAAAAATTGCATTCGGATCTATTGTATGAAGTTTACAGTACAAGATTATTCCATCCTATAAATTAGTTTGTGTCAAATTTATTCTGTGTGTAAAGCCAACCATCAGGAATTTCACAAGGTTGCTTATCTAACTTTGTCTTATGCTAAGATTCTAAGTGTAGTATTGTTGTAACGGTTGCTTAAGATATTTTCCCGGCTAAATCTTATTGCTCAGTATTCTTGACACAAAACACTGGACAAGTAACACAAATCAAAACACGGTTGAACAGGAAGGATTGTATTCCAAATAGCAAGGAAAAGAAGCTGGAGGTGATGGCGAAAGCCAAGGCAAAAAGGCTTGAAGACGAAGAAGGCTGAAGGCTAAGAAGGCCATTGCCAACCAATTCGTACGTCTCAGCCCAAGAAGAAGCGCAAACGTACTCGACATGTGGTGAAATCAGCCGAGTCTAAATCACTTTCTCTCGTAGCTGCTTTTCAAACAGACTATGACGTTCGGAGAAAGTATGTGACTATCCAGATGAACGGTGCATCAGCTCGTTTTCAAATCGACTCGGCATGAGATATCACCTTAATGTCTAGAGAAACGTACAACATGCTGGGAAAACCGCCAATGAAGCCATCTAAGAAAACAGCTAAAAGCGCTTCAGGTGGCGTGTTAAAACTGGCTGGTGAATTCCAGTGTAACTTTTCCTTCAACGGAACAAAATGTACAGGTATATGCTATCTGACAGAACGGCCAAACCTTGATCTTCTTGGTCTAGATATGCTAGAAAAACTGGGAATAATGGATTTACCCATTAACAGTGTCTGCAGCGTATCGTGTTCATCATTGGACACCCCGTTACTTAAAAAGAAGACAGGTGAAAGGTTACAAGATAAACGAAAGAGGAAGTCAGCCTCTGTTTCTCAGAATAGCCTTGGCCGCAGTACAAATCTGAAAGCTAACCTACCAGCGAAAGCAGATGCCAAACCTACTTCACGTCCGAGACGCCCTATACCATATGCTGTTCATGAGCCTCAACAAAACTTATCGGTGGGGAAGCAGCCCAATCGACGGCTGTTTAAAGATATGGTTCCTACAAAGCAGGGGGCTCGTAAGAGTACGGGTGGCAAGGTACCCAGGAAGCAGTTGGACCGTAGCACCAGATCCTACGAATCTTCTCAAAGGGGAGGTGTTAGTGGGACATAGATGGGTTTAAAGCATGATTACGTCACTACGCGCTGATTGGCTAATTTCCTATCCAATCAGCGCCTGATCGAAGCTTGGAGAACAGGATAGAAAATTCTCATATTATTAGCTGCATGCTGATTGGTTCAATCCAGCCCAGTCGATCACGTGAATTTTCTTCCAGAAGTTTTCTCATGTAAAGGCTATAAATAGACTAGCATTGTATTTATCTTTACCTTCTTAGCCTTCAAGCCTTCTTTGACTTGGCTTTCGCCATCACCTCCAGCTTCTTTTCCTTGCTATTTTGGAATACAATCCTTCCTGTTCAACCGTGTTCTGATTTGGGTTACTTGTCCAGTGTTTTGTGTCAATAATACTAAGCAATAAAGATTTAGCTGGGAAATATCTTAAGCAACCGTTACAACAAGTATTGTAGTTCATTTGTTACTCGATAGATAAACTGTCATCTAAATTACGGAAATTTTGTAAATTGCAAAATTTTTTACCGTTTGAATCTCAAACTAATCTCAGCTAAACTTTCACTGAAAGCATTAGACGACCGTTTCATTTGAATATATGGGACAATTTACAACCGGTCTTGTCTGCAAGCGCCTAAGCTCTAGATTATTAGGCTTACATCTAATAGTGCTAATATCCTTAACCGCTCTTGTGCTTCCAAGTTTGCAATGAAGAACTAGCTGTGTATCAGTTCAATATGTAAACTTTGGAAATATCAGAGTTTCTCACACACTTCATTTTTCGCCTGCCTGCCTGCCTGGGGATTCATGTAACAGTTTAGAGTTAGAAATTGTTATGGTTTTGTTTAGTGACCTCAGTAATACTTCGACGCTTGTGAAGAGCAGACTAGAGAAAACGAGGCCGGTTTCAGACCTACACGTGGTTGTATAGACCACATTTTCACACTACAACAGGTCCTGGAACACAGATACACATTTAGGCGTCCTACAATAGTTGTTTTCCTGGACCTAAAAGCGGCATTTGACTCAGTGGATCGTGAGGTTCTGTGGCAGTGTCTGTCATTGAAAGGTGTACCAAAGAAGTACATTAACCTCATACAAGCTCTCTACTCGAACACCACTGGTCGAGTGAGAGCTTATGGCTAACTGTCACCGGAATTCTTCACTTCAAGTGGTGCCTGTCAGGGATGTCCACTGTCTCCATTCTTGTTTAATTTTATCATAGACATGCTCCTAGAAATAACCTTATCCTCGTCTGAATTTTCAGGAGTAGACCTTCTACCAGGTGGCTCGCTTATTGACTTAGAATATGCCGATGACATTGTCCTACTTGGTGAAGACCCTGACAAAATGCAGAGTCTTCTGACTACCCTAAGCAACTATGCAAGCATGTTCGGGATGCGGTTTTCCCCCTCGAAATGCAAAATGTTGCTTCAAGATTGGGTTTCATCGGCACCTGAACTAGTGATAGGGAATGAAGTAGTCGAACGTATAGACCGCTTCACTTATCTTGGGAGTCTCATCAGTGCTGATGGCCTGGTGACTGACGAAATCTCAGCACGGATAAAGAAGGCTCGATTGGCTTTTGTCAACCTGCGTCACTTATGGCGTAGGCGAGATATCCGTTTTCTGACTAAAGGACGAGTGTACTGCGCAGTAGTTCGCTCAGTCTTACTTTATGGCTGTGAAACATGGCCAGTGAGAGTGGAAGATATTCGTAGGTTACTGGTTTTCGATCATAGATGTTTAAGAAGCATTGCTCGTATATCGTGGGACACCCGAGTGAGCAACGCTGTTATTAGGAATCGGGTTCTAGGTAAGAATGGCAGATCAATCGATGAAGTATTGAAACTTCATCAGTTGAAGTGGTTGGGACATGCGCTGCGTATGCTTAACCACCGACTGCATCGTCGAGCTTTGTTTTGTAGTGTAGGAATAGGTTGGAAGAAAGTTAGGGGCTGCCAAACCGAAACATGGCAGAAATCTATGAAGTCATTGACGAGTGGACTGAGCCATGTCGGTAATTGTCGACTACCTGTTTTGGGTCCGCGAGATGATAATAATCGATGGTTAGAGACCTTGAATGACATGGCTCAAAATCGTTCGCAATGGCGCCAGTGCATTTATTCCTTGTGTTCTCTCAAATCCTAATCTTCCGGATTCTTCAACCCCTCTAGTTTTGACTTTCTAAACTTTTCTCACTGAATCATACTACTTGAATAAATATCTTCTC